TTTCTATCTGAAAGACACCAGAATATGTTACTTAATGTAAACAATAAATTTAATGCTTTAGCTTTCAATTAATAACAACATATTGAGACAAAAGTTTGTTTTTGTTGATTTATGAGCCTTTTTTTATCGTGATATGCTGCTTTTTTAGGTGACCTAATTGAGGTGCCTACGAAAACGATGGCACCGGGAAAGAGTTTAACAAGAGAGAAGTACAAAAGAGAAAGTGTTAGCATGGAACACTGTTACCTCTAACCAATTCAATTCTGAATTGATGAGACCTTGCTGCCAATCTAGTACTGCGCTTAAATATGTAGAGTCTAGATACTCATAGCGAAGAGTTCATTCGAACAATTACCAGGAAAGTATTTATAAACATGTCACATAGGAGAAATTATTACGGCGATGAGAAAATGACAGATGCCGAGATATCATGTGTTGTAACATATCTATGGGCGATAATGGGTATGTCCCCATTCACATAAATACAATAGTAAATACTGTATGTTGGTCTGCAGTTGGATATTAGTCTCCAGCTGTGCTGGTCAAACTCTCTGCCTTCGTGCAGAGAGGATCCCCAGATGAGGCTATGTCGGAGGACAGAGTCTCGTCTCGGGAAACATCTACCCAACCCCGTTTTACACGGGGTCTACGGGGAATTTTGACCAAGCCTACGGGCTCAGATACCCCACATTAAATTCGGCCTTGTGCCACATCTGACCGCGTGTCTTCACTAACCTTCGTTTGATTATTCTATTCAGTAACATTCCCTAGGTTACAACATCAGGCAAGGACCAATAATATTGCAGATTTTAGAATCTCTAGATATACAGCAGGAGCACCGGACTCTATGTGGCAGCAATATTCAAGGCATGGACGAATGGTACATTTATAAATATATAAGATAGATTCAAAATTGTCTAGCACAATACAGTGAACCACATTTCTTAGCAGCACGACTAGCAATAGATTCAATATGATCTTTCTACTTTATTGTCAATCAAGAATGTTACCTCGAGAAGATGCAGCTCTCATGGAGGTTTGTATCTGCCATACTGAAGAGAGGAAAAGTTTCGTTTTGTATGCGTTAAATTTAACAAGCCATTAGTTGCCCCAGTTAACAACAGGCCGAGGTTATTCTTGAGATCAACTACCAATTTGACCTTATCGAACTGATCAGACTTATTATCGAGACATGATTCAATAGTTATATCATCAGTATAGATAGCAAGTTGAGAACTGATGTCATCAGGAATGTCATTGATAACAATTAAGAAAATAGTCGAAGGATAGGACCCTGGGCGTCACCAGTATTAGTACAAAAAGATCTAGAAGAGTGGCCGTTCAAGACTACTTTCATTTCCAGATTTGATAAGGACTGATTCAGTTAAAATATTCGTCCGGAAATATACATTTTCAACTTATGAAGAAAAGCGGTATGCCAAACACTGTCAAAGACCTTCGAGATGTTCAAAGCAATTTCCTGAGTTTCATCAGTCTTATATAAAGCTTGATAGACTATTCCTCTATGTGTACGTGTGTATGCATGTGTGTGTACATGCGTACGTACGCGTTTGTGTGTGTATATTTACGTAAGTGTGTATGTGAGCTTGCGCGCGTCTATGACAGACAAAGAAAGCCGTAAGATTTTTAAACATAGAAGCTGAAAACAATCTTCAATGAAATCATTTTTATTCAAACCTTCCACCTATGTTTTTAATGAAAATATCTGTATTCGCTTAAAGAATCAATTGATTGAAACATATTTTCTCATACGGCTTCGCACAATAAATAAATTCAGCTCTTTATGATCATTTTTTTTTAATCTTTCTCGTTTGCTCATTCGCTTCATTCGTCATTCTATAAAAGCAAAAATCTTATGGCGGCGTTTCCGCCCTACCAACATTCCGAGATCGACGGCGTAGTTAAACTTTATCGGCTGCCGGCTTCCATTCCATTAACTTCACTGACATTTCGCCTCTGATGCAGGCCTTTTTCTGATTGCTTAAAAGGCTAACTGATTTGGCTTCGTTGTCAGTGAAACAATAGCTTGTAGAAACTATTTTTTTTTCTTACGCTATTTAATGTTTGCAATAATTCCTTTCCTTTAATAATATCTTTTTAAGTATTTCAAACAAGTAAAATATCTCAAAAGAAGTTTTAAAAAATAATGAAAATCTATTTTCAAGTTTTACCATATTTGTAAATATTTTTGTCGACCAAAATCTTAACAGTGTAAGATATGCAGATGACTATGTTAATAGCTGACACAGAAAGGAAACTACAGGAATCCCGCCAGACGGTAGTAAAGGAAAGGACAAAGAAAGGACTAAACAACAGTTGTAAGAAAACAAAATGATTGCCAACAAGAGGAATATTACAAGGCGCGAACTATAGACCCAACATAACAAATGTAAGTAAATACAAGGATAAATTAAAAAGTAAAGGCAATTTTTATATAACAGTTTTATTTCCGGTAATGAAGAACAAATTTATACGTCTCTTTCCGACATCGTTTCCCCCACCATGGCGATGCATTTCTGGTATCGTTCAACAAAGTTTTTCGATTGCGCACAAACCGTCTGCTCTGCTTGCTTGTTTGGGAACGCAACGCGCACAAAGTTTACGGTACCCCAAGTGATCCATAACTGATACCCACGATTGCAGCCACTTTCGTCGGTCACACACCATCCTCTGGGTGTGTTCATTCGTTCGCGATGTTGATAGACGACAAGATCGACCTTTGTTCATCCTTTATTTAAAGCGTTCTAACCACTCATACGTCTTTCATTGATACATGGTACGTGTTTAATACTACGCCACTGTCCGGCGATGGAATTCCGCAGGTGTGGCTCCCTCTGCCCATAGAAAGCGCACTACGTAGCTTTGTTACTTGATGGTGCAATCGCTAAAGAAGCGTCCATACGTCTGACCTCGTTGCTACCTGCCACTAAACCGGAGTGCTGCACGCGGCTAGCCACTCGTCATCCGATGCGCATGTCTGGTGTCGCGCGTCAGCGTCTCCCTGTTGCTTTGCCGCGTAAATTCAAAATTAACATTTCTTTCTGATTTATTCTATTATAACGTACCATTTACGCAACGTGAGTACGTATTTTTGAGCAAAAATTAACCAATCAGATTACAGGTCAAAATCTTCAGATGTCCATTAAAAGAAAATGACGTAATCCCAGCTTAATATTATTATTCTTTGTTTTACACGGATTCGTATAAATAATAAGCCAATCAAAAAATCTGATTGGTCAATGTCTTTTCTTTTCGTTATTCCGATTGATGAGAGCGGGAATGAAGACAGACATTGTTCGTATTTATTTGTTCGTTATACTTTTGTCAAAATGGACATTCATGCTGCAAGAGAGAATGTCTGTAAGGAAATGAAACCAATTTCCTTTCTATTAATTTTGCTCGGAAACTCTTGAGCTGGGCGCCTCAAAGATTCACAATCAATAAAATTACAAACGCAAAAGAATTTAACATGAGAAGAGTTCAGTATCTGTCTATATCTATGAGGTATTATGTACATTATTTACATTATTCGGATTATTGTCCTCATCTTTGTCGCCATATTTATTACATTTCGGCCGTTGTACACTTCGGTCTTCTTCAGGTGGTTGGAATGTCGGACTGAACCCTTTATTTCGCTCACTGGGGTGGACTGTTTTAGTTCCACGTGCCATGTTTAATGGATACCAGTTATCAGTTATCTCCTGTTAATTTCCCCCTGAAAGTTCTCCACTGCCTTAAACGGGTATTGAACTCACACTCTTTGGGTCCTGTCACTGGATCTAACTAACGCTTTCATCCACTGTGCCATGTGTCCTCATAACAGGACATTACAGGAGATAACGCATCATATTTACCTTCCTTATGCCCATGAATTTTTGAAATATTAAATACAGGAATTAGAAGAAAAAGAAGCCATTCTTTACCATAAGGCATATATGACAGGAAGTCATCTACAAAAACACGAACGGAATAAAATAAAAAGATCAATCAACTATAATAATAATAAGAATGTCCGTGTTTTGCAAAACAAACTCAATATATATATATATATATATATATATATATATATATAAAGTGAACATTTTGACATGAGAGGCGACAGGCTGTTCCATGCTAGATGAAATCGCCAAGCTTGACGATTGCGTTTAGCATGAAACAGCCAAAACTTAAAAAGTGTTGACTTCAATGTTCACTTTTATATTTACACACGCTCTATCTCTGATATAGAGCACTTTATCCCAAGAATATAGCACACCTTAAGACTATATTTCTTCATATATATATATATATATATTTATATATATATATATATGCATGTATATATATATATATATATATATATATATATATATCTATATATATATATATATATATGTATTTATTTGTATATATATATATATATATATATGTATGTATACATACATATATATATGTGTGTGTGCGTATGTGTGTGTGTGTGTGTGTGTGTGTGTGCGTGTGTGTATCTTAATTGTTTTATAACCCTTCACGCAGAACTTTTCCCTGCCAGTTCAAGAAAGACGTTTGGATCACTAACACAAAAAAGAAAATGTCTCATATCGAGAATATTTAACATCGAAAAGCATAAAGAAAAAAATGAATTATTTTTAATCATATGTAGAAATATCCACCCTTTGCCTGATGACGGTTGTGAGACCGGAAACATGTGTAGTAAAATTGTGGAAAATAAAGCATTTTTTTTTAATTCCACATTACAACCAAAAACGTTTGCGGTTTCTCTCTTTTTAATATACACACTTTTCTCTAGTTGGAACTACTATAACCTCTTCCTTTTATATATTTATATATATATATATATATATATATATATGATATAATATAAATTCCCAAGATGAAGAGAATCCAAATAGAATCCAGGTAGAACTCAATGTCAAGGACAGAGTAAGGATATAATATAAAAGGCTGAGGGGTGGGGATAATAATGGTTTAGCGCATCCAGGCTTCCAGCACCTGATATTTCCAAGTGATCACCCATCCAGGTACTGACCAGGCTCTACGTTGCTTAACTTCGATGATCGTACGGGAACCTGTGTTTCAACGTGATATGGCCGTAAGCCTTAAAGATTTTTAGAGAGCGTAGATAAAGATTTTGTAAAATAATTCTTTTAAGTTGATAAATACAAAGTAAGGTAACTCGATGGCGGTTCGATTTGTGGAAGAAGAAAGGGATAATAGAGTGATGAGAGAGAGAGGAGAATATCAAATATCCTACGTGACGTTTGTCTATTGAAGGCGGAACAGAGACAGGAGGATATTAAGAGGGGGGGTAATTCTGCTTAGAGTTATTAAACCTGGAAAGTTGTGAAGAGGCAATGAAGACGACAAAGAGATAAAGAGAGCGGGTGAGAGAGAATGTGGACGAGAGAGAGAGAGAGAGAGAGAGAATGAGGACGAGAGAGAGAAAGAGAATGAGTACGTGAGAGAGAGAAAATGAGGACGAGAGAGAGAGAAAGAGAATGAGTACGAGAGAGAGAGAGAGAATGAGGACGAGAGAGAGAGAGAATGAGGACGAGAGAGAGAGAGAATGAGGACTGAGAAAGAGAGAGAATGAGGAGGAGAGAGAGAGAAAATAAGGACTGAGAAAGAGAGAGAATGAGGAGGAGAGAGAGAGAAAATGAGGACGAGAGAGAATGTGAACTAGAGAGAAAGGGAGAGAAAGAGGACGAGAGAGAGAGACTGTGGACGAGAGAGAGAATGAGGACAAGAGAGGGAGAATGAGGACGAGAGAGAGAGAGAGAGAATGAGGACGACAGAGAATGTGAACTAGAGAGAGAGAGAGAGAGAGAATAAGGACGAGAGAGAGAGAATGAGTACGAGAGAGAATGTGAACTAGAGAAAAATGGAGAGAATGAGGACGAGAGAGAGAGAGAATAAGGACAAGAGAGAGAGAATGAGGACGAGAGAGAATGTGCACTAGAGAGAGAGGGGGAGAGAATAAGGACGAGAGAGAGAATGAGAAAGAGAGAGAATGAAGACGAGAGAGAGAACGAGGGAGAGAAAGAGAATGAGGACAAGAGAGAGAGAGAATGAGGACGATAGAGAGAGAGAGAGAGAGAGAGATGAGGACGATAGAGAGAGAGAGAGAGAGAGAGAGAACGAGGACGAGAGAGAGAATGTAAAAAACTGAAAAGAGAGGCGTAAGCCATTAGAACTCTGAAGATGATTTATTCTCAGGGCAAAATATTTATCCTACAATTTTAGGTGACTATTTGCTGAACAAATGTTATATTTGAATCTCATGGTTGTGTTATCATATCCTGCTATAGCAACAGTTGGAGGCACGGTGGAGCAATTAAGTGGTACGTTGGAATAATGGATAGCGGCTCGGATTGAGGAATCACAGAGCCGAGTTCGAATTCCAGTTGGATCCATTCACTTACTTGGGAAAAGTATGAATCTTTTTCTAGACGTAAACAGCAGGACAGGCTGGATTCTATAGCCTTGGGTGGCAACCGGTCTAGGAGAAAGTAAATCTGAATTCAAAAATGTAGCATATACTATAGAGCTAAAGAAAGGATCGTTCGCATTGTCTCGATGATCCTGATTATGTTTAGAATGATGGCAACAGTGCAAAGCACCTTAATTGAAATTCAGAATGAGGCTACTGCTATTGAGGAGACAGAGCCACAAGTAATACACTTGAATAATGCAGAGTGTTAATGGTTAAACGGTTTTCAATAGCGTAGATAAAGATTATGAAAAATAATGCTTTTAAGTTGATAAATACAAGTAAGTAAGGTGATTCGATGGTGGCTCGGAAAAGAATATAAAATGGAGGCGAATGGAAGATAAAAAAAATGGCTGTAACATAAAACGACAGACCGCTTGAGAAAGAAAAAAACGTGAAATAAAATCGACGCAAAATGTGACAAATAGAAAGACGTGTGTTCAAAATCAGCAAAGGCGACGTCAGGAGAGATAAAAAAAAAAGAACCATTTAAATAAGATATAACCGAGGAAGATAGATAGTAAAGACGATAAGAAAGAAAGAAAGAAAGAAAGAAAGAAAGAAAGAAAGAAAATTCCCACAGTTAGATGTGCGTTTGCTGAAGAAAGAAAGCGGGAAAATAAATGAAGTAAGGATGCTTTATTGGTATAAAGAGATTTAAAGAGGAGACAATGGTAATAAGGCTAAATTGGAAATTTAATCCGAGGGATGCTTCAGTGTCGGCTGCCAAACGATTCGTTTCTTTCAATCAATCAACCAGACAACCACGTGATCCACACAGAAAACAGAGACGAGTCTGGAAAATATCCATCCTTCGACTTGAAGCTGGTGTTCGAAATTTGGGAAATGCTGGAAACAAGCAGCAGCTTCCACAATACATATTCATGCGAGCGTCTGTGTGAATGCGCCGAGGTGCGCATGCGCCGAGGTGCGCATGCGCCGAGGTGCGCATGCGTGGTTTCGCACATTGACATTTTGGTGCATGCATACGTTTCAATCCATGCGTATTCGCATTTTGCAATTCGGAAATTTCGTTTATAATTCTGTCCTTTTCGATATCAGATTTTCATTTGAATTCCTAAATCTATAGCCATCTTTGTTCCGTTCGCATTTATGATATCTCCCTCTCTCTCTCGCTCAGCACACACACCCTCAAACATGAACACACAGACAGACAGATAGGCAAGTAGAATATATTGCTGGACGATTCATCAGGATTGTTAATAAATAATAAGTATTGAAATAAACTATAAAAGACGAACGAATTCATGTAGCAACCTAAAAAATAAATATATATTGTTTAGTTATTAGGTTCTAATAACTAAATGTATATCATGTAACCACCTAAAAAATAAATGTACATTATTTAAGAACCTAATAAATAAATGTACCTTCTGAAACAACCTAATAATTAATGTACATTATTTAAGAACCTAATAAATAAATGTACCTTATGTAACCACCTAAAAAATAAATGTACGTTATTTAAGAACCTAATAAATAAATGTACCTTACGTAACAACCTAAAAAATAAATGTACATTATTTAAGAACCTAAAAAAGGTACATTATTTAAGAACCTAATAAATAAATGTACCTACTGTAAAAACCTAATAAATAAATGTAAATTATTTAAGAACCTAATAAATAAATGTATATTATATAAGAACCTAATAAATAAATGTACCTTCAGTAACAAGGTAATAAATAAATATACCTTCTATAACAACCTAATAAATAAATGTACATTATTTAAGAACCTAATAAATAAATGTGCCTCATGTAACAATCTAATAAATAAATGTATATTATTTAAGAACCTAATAAATAAATGTCCTTTATGTAACAACCTAAAAAATAAATGTAAATTATTTAAGAACCTAATAAATAAATGTCCCTTATGTAACAACCTAAAACATAAATGTACATTATTTAAGAACCTAATTAATAAATGTACCTTATGTAACCACCTAAAAATAAATGTATATTATTTAAGAACCTAATAAATAAATGTACATTTTGTAACAACCTAAAAAATAAATGTACATTATTTAAGAACCTAATAATTAAATGTACCTTATGCAAAAGCTTAATAAATAAATAACTTTAAGAGCCTAATAAATCCTCAGGAGGTTGAATGACATAGTTCTCCTATCCTTTGTTGTTTTTAGGATTCTCTTTTTACTATCTCTCCCAGTCACTGTTCTGACATTCACTGACACAAGCTAATCAGACAAGATACTGGCTGTTCCCTTCTGACCCATTACTATTTCAATGCGCCTCGTGAGTGTCAAATTCTCTGAAACCTCTGCCCTCATTAAGTGCCCCAAATTTTCAAGTTTTGAATTTTTTATTCTAAATATAAATGTCGTTTTTGTTCGCATTTTCATTAAAACTTGGAGACCGGAGTTCAAATTCAGCCGGGTTTGCAATATTCCTTTAGGTGCAAATTCTCTTGGAAAAAGAATCCACTCTTCTCTCCCAGCAATTACTTAAGTTTGTAAGACTTGTATCACTAAATCATTATTAACTTTAAAAATGTCTTACAATGTAAAAAAAATATTTACCGGCTTTATATAATCTGCAAAAGGTTGATAGACCGTAAAAACAGCTCAATCAATCAAAATCCACGTATGGAGCAAGTTCGAATCAGCTGAATCCATTCATTTACAGAATGACAAAACACGACACAAGGTGAGTTATATATATATACCCACCTGATATGGCATAAAACTTTATGTTGTATTTTCAGTGGGCCATGTTTTTTCTCAATAACTGATTCTCTGTGGACAGATTCCAAGTCAAGGATTAATCTCTGCTATTGGTATCATGTAACCTAGTACAATGTGCCTGTACTTGGAGAGGAAATGGACACTGCCTAGTAATTCCATGACTCTGAAAAATGGTATGAAGGAGCCAGCTTTTTTTATACTAAAATTCGTCCAACACAAAGCTCGAGAGTCACTCAAGGTAAAGGATTACTGATAATTGTTATGATGAATGAAAGTGTAATATGAAGGAAAGAAGAGGGGGTAGAAAGTTATAAGGATAGATAACAACTGTTATGATCTTAGTTAAGATTGTAGTGTTTAGTGAAGTCAGTTCCCCAAAGTAGCAGTTGTTTTTTTGTTTTTTTGGTGGGGGCGCTGTCTAAGTGAAAATTTCTCCTTAGTAATGAAATATGATAGGGCACAACTGCTACAAAGATCCAAGAAGAAAATTATTATGGGTTTTCGTACGGGTCTTGCCGTAAGAAACTTTGTCGTATAGGATTTTTGCTGTAAGACAATTTCGCCTCACTTTTTTAATATGCGAAGTACCTTGTTATCAAGTATATCTGTCTCACACTATTGTTACTTCAATTTAAACATTTTAATAAGCAAAGTTATACTAAGATGCACCCAAATTTGTGGAAACTAATTGCGTATTTGAAAAAGGAAGAGACATTAGCAAAAAAACAAAACAAAGTGTGATTTAGATCGAGGAGATGCAGTACAAATGAAGAAAAGATATATATATATATATATTGATATGAATGCAAGACTTCAGCAGAAAATGCTTCATTATAGTCCAACGCAATTAAAAAAGAAGCACATTATTTACCTAAGCATTGCTTGGAATTTGCAAACATTTAAAATTATTCTTTTGTTAATTTATTTTGATATTTGTTATTTTTAGTCTTTTATTTTTTTTAAATAAATGTTTACATTTTAATTTCTTTTCTGATGTTTGACCCCATAAAAAAGATATCCATATATAGTTGATAACAAGGTACTTTGCATATTAAGTTGAACATTGCCACAAAAGGGATGTTCAAGATAAGGGTATTGAAAAAAAAAAAAAGCGGCGAATTTGTCTTACGGCAAAAATCTTATACAACGAAGTTTTCTACGGCGAAATTTTTTTGAGGTATTGACAGTAATTTTATTATAAAAATGTACTGTTGGTTTTTGTTTGGGGGTTGGAGGGGTCACTATTTACTCATAGTTGGGACTGTAGCAGATGCTACCACCTCGTGTCAAGGTGGACTTGGGAACAACAACAGTTAAGAGGTGGTTCCACGTTTCTCAGGACTACCAGTCTCCCGATCAGAAGCCTAGCTGCCAGATGTAGTTTATCGTCATACCCAAGATAAAAGTCAATCTTCATCTTCTGTCTCCTTGAATCCTGTTCTTTTTCTTGTTTTTTCTCTTCAGTAAGGTTTTCTCAGTGTCCTTCTTGCTTTCCTGTCAAGTACGATCTTCAAAGATTTAAATACCTGTTTTTTAATGTCCTTTCTCCTCAGTAACTTGCATCAAATGGGTTTATTGCCTTGTTTGGGATGAAGGGATTAAAATATATATACGAGCCATCGCTAAACGTATTAGAAAAATTGTCAGTTCCTTGTGCTGCTCCAAAATAAAGAGATCAAACCTAGAATGGAGTCTTGCTGCCATATCTTAGCTGTAACTGCCCAATCCTCACCTTTCAACCTTGACAGTTCAAAAGCACTTACACGGCCTTTTAGGTGATGAATTATTTTTCATCTTACAGTCCCTTTTCCCCATATTAAACGTTGCTACACAAACATGATCGACTCACCCACATCCTGAGAGGACTCTTTCCCGATCACTATAATCTTAACCACTTTAAGTCTAAGAAAAGACTATCTATCCTATATATCATCATAATAATTCCTTCTTTTACGTCCCCACATTCTACCTTGACAGGCTCTTGAGCCTTGTATTGGGTTAACAACAGCATGAAAAGGTTTCTTATTGAAGCAGGTTCACTGAAAATAAATCCCCAGCCAATAAGAACATACGGATGAAATGAACTCATAATAACTAGAATGGATATTTGGTTTTGGAATAAACTTCCTCTTGCAAATCATTTTTGGATAAATTAATTCTTGGAAAGCAACGACTAGCGTATTAAATAATTAAACTCTTTTTGTTGGTTGCCAATTTGCCGTTTTGACCTTTTCGTTCGATTCAACGAAAAAAAAATCTCTATTTAATCAATCCCGTTTTTCAGCTAATTACTTTAAAAGTTACTAATTTCCGCTGTCGAAAATGATTTTTAGCAGGGTTATTGGAGGACGCGATCAATGGCGTTATTGCTTCGACTTTACGTCTTCTATAAGTCTCGTTTGACTTCCATAAATAAATAAAAAAAGATTAAGAAACCAGGAAAAACAAGAGCGCACATCATTGAGTTTTGTTTTGTCTTTATTTATAGTTAATTGTTCCCATTTATCAGATTGTTTTTTATCGAACTATAACAATAAGGACAATAAAGATATTAATCACTGTCTTCTTCGCTAATAGTAGTAGTAGTAGTAGTAGAAGTAGTAGTAATAATAATAATAATAAGATTAGGAAGAAGGGGAATACGAAGAAAAGGAATACGAAGAAAGAAGTGGAAAAATAAAGAAGAGTTAGAAAGAAACAGGAGCAAAATATAAAAAAAAGAAAAAAGAAAGAAAGAAGTGGGCAAAGAAGAAAGAAGAAAAAGAAAGACGAAAATGAAAAAGGAGCAAGGAAGAAAAAGAAGAAAAGGAAGATACAAAAGAGGAGAAGGAAGAAAAAGTAAAAGAACAAAAAAAGAAGAAAGAAGCAGAAAAAGAAGAAAAGGGAAAGAAAGAAGGAGAATGAAAAAAAAGAAAAGGAAGAAAAACAAAAAAAAAATAAGTAAAGAAAAGAAGAAGAAAGCAGAAGAAAGAAGACTAGTAGGAGAAAAAGATAGAATGAGAAGTAACAGAAAGAAAAAGAAAAAAGGAGAAAAAGGTGAAAGTAGAAGAAAAAAACCGAAGTAGATGAAGAAAGTAGTAGTAGGAGTTGAAGAAGAAAATAGTAAAAAGAAAAAAATAAGAACAATTTTAAAAAAATAAATACATACGATGAATATACAAAGGAAAATGGACGCTATTGCACTTTTGCACCCCTGGCTATAAAAACCGAACGTAATTTTTTTTTTTAAATAAGACCCAACAATAAGATAAACACAACTGCCATAGGGTGTAACTGGCACAGAAATAGAAACAGGCACAAAAAAAGCCCCCAAAAGGTAAGTAAAATTATTTTTAAAAAATACGGCGCACATCTATTAAAATGAAGAGAGAGGAGTATGTAATAATGCCGAAAAATGAAAGAAAAGAAAAAATAAGAGAAATGAAGAAGAGAGCGAAAAATGGGAAAAGAAAAAATGGAATAAATGTAAAAGGAAAATATAGTGAGAGAAATAGACGAAAAGAAACGAAAAAGAAAAAAATAATTGAGGAAAAAATAAAATATGGAAAACAAAAAAAGATCCACAAAAATAAAAAAAAATAAAATAGGAGAAAAGCGAAAAAGAAAAGAAAATGAGAGGAAAAAAGAAAGAAAGAAAAAGACAAAGAAGACGAAAAGAAGAGAATATAAAAGAAAAAAGAAGAAGAAAAAATATGAAAAATATAAGCGAAGAAGGGAAAGAAAAATAGAAAAAAAGAAAAGAGTAAACTTGAGACAATTAAAAAAAAGTAGACCAAAAAGAAAAGAAAAAAATAGCAAAAAGAAGGAAGAGGGAGGAAGCAGCAGAAAAAAAAGAAAGGAAGGAAGAAAGAGTAGAAGAAAGAATAAAAAGTTCGAGACAAAAAAGAAATCGCAAAAAGAAACAGCAAAAAAGAAAGATGGAAGCAGCAGAAGAATAAGAAAGAAAAGAAAAGAAAAAAAAGCAGAAGTAAGAAGAAAATTTGGAGACAAAAATGAAATAGCAAAAAAGAAAGAAGAAAGCAGACGAATAAAATTAAAGAAAGAAAGCAAAGAAGAAAGACGAAAAAGTTGAAGGCGAAAAAAGAAATTGCAAAAAAAAGAAGGAAGGAAGCAGCAGAAAAAAGAAAGAAAAGAAAATGTAGAAAAAAGTAGAAGGAAGAAGAAGAAAAAGTTGGAGACAAAAAAAGAAATAGCAAAAAAAGAAAGGAGGAAGCAGCAGAAGAAAAAAAAAGAAAAAAAAGAAAAGAAAAGAAAAGGAAGAAAATAGAAAAAGCCAAAAAAGAAACAAAAGAAAGACTAGCAAAAGAGGAGAGAGAAAAAGAGTAAACATAAAAGAAACGAAAAGCAGTAGAAATAAAAGAATATATATAAAAAAAATTTTGACGTCGCTAAAATAAAAAAAAATCAAAGAAAAATAAACATCAAAGAAATACCAAGAACAACAAAAAAGAAAAAAAAAAGAGGATAAAGAAGGAATAAAAAGATGAAGGAACAAAGAAAAAGAACAACAAAGCGAAAGAAAGCATCAAAAATGATTGCAATGATGTAAATTATTGGTAAGCTGTGTTCTCGTCCAATTTATCGCCCATATCACTTGCTGGTAAATCTCTCTGATTCTGGTTCCAAATAGCAGATAGGAATCAATGTATCTTAAATAACAGTGGAACTATAAAAACATTGTTAATTATGCATGAAGGCAGGTAAACGAAAAGAATTTCAAGGGAATTTCTTCTTGCTGAGAAACCTTCTGGCACTTAAAAGTTCTACAAAGCCTAAATAATAAAAATAGTTTTAAGGCACCGAAAATTGTCATTCGGAAAAAAAAAAAAGAAAAAAGAAATCTGAAAATAAAACAATTTCCTAACGTATATTCGGAAGAAAGCAAAAACAATCTATACCGGGTGTATCAAAAATATTTCACAAAATTTCGGGCAGGTTCCTAACAGAAAAACAAAGAGAAATGTCCATATAAACATGTTCACAAATTCTTCGTTTAAAGTTAATAAGTTTAAAGAACGTTTACGGTAGATGGTGCTGTATCGCCATGTAAATTAGGTTACATTTGTCATTCCTGTACATTAGTGGCTAGTCCACTTTCAGCGTTTAACGTGTGTATTCGTGAGTTAACTGAGAAGTGTTTCGTCTGACAATGACAGGATATTAATATCGTGAGCAGGCTAATATGATTTTTACATACGGCCGCGCGAATGGTAATGGACGCGAGGGTGCACGACTGTATCAGATTGCGTTTCCAAACCAAAGGCAGCTGAGTCATCTAACCTTTGCTGCTGTTTATCGTCGATAGGAACTATGGCTCGAGGAAGACCGAGATCCACCTGTCAGCCTGACCACGAAGAACACATTCTACAGGCTGTCGGGGACGATCCAGGTATCAGCACACGCCAAGTGGCCCTTGCATGTCGTACCGCATGGCGGGTACTTCAAGAGCAGCTCCTGTATCCGTATCATTTGCAACGTATGCAGGGACATTCGCCCTCTGATCACACACCACAGGATAACTTTTACCGATGGTTTATTGCACAAACTGACGATCGATTGTTTGTCTCTTCTGTCTTGTTTACAGATAAGGCAACATTTGGAAGAGATGGAATAACAAATTTACACAATCAACACTTGTGGGTGGATCGGAATTCCCATGATAAAATGCAGGCTAGACACCAGCATCAGTTTACAATTAATGTGCAGGCTGGAATTGTAGGTGACTGTCTGGTAGGTCCATATGTTCTCCCATCATGTCTTACAGGAACTGACTACATCTGATTTATCTCGAACACACTTCCAGACTTGCTAGAGGATGTACCCCTGCTAATCAGAAGTTGAATGTGGTTCATGCATGATGGGACTCCAGTACATTTTACTCGCATTGTTCGCGATGCACTGACTGACATTTACAATGAAAGATGGATAGGTAGGGGAGGACCTGTTTCATGGTCAGCACGTTCCCCGGACCTCAATCCTTTGGTTTCTTATGTGTGGGGCCGCATAAAACTATTGGTTTATGCAGCAGACAATAATAAAGAGAGGCTTCATCAACGTGTCAAGTGGGCCTGCGAAACCATTCGACACCATTTGCGAGTACTTGAAAGGGTCCGCCAATCAATGATCCGACGGGTGCATGCGTGCGTAGCACCAGGCTGGGGAAATTTTGAACTATTGCTATGAGATGATGCGTTGACGTACAACGATGGCGTTTTGAATATATTCTTATGAGGATTTTGGTAATTGTAAGTTCTATGCTAACAATTTCTTCTCTCGCATTTCTCGCTTGTGGAACTCATCTCCGGCTTTCCAGTGAAGTTTGATCTTCAAAAATTGAAAATGCAATGTCATTCATTATCTTCTTAACTCCTGTTCTTTTATTGTTCCCTCTCCTTAATAATGTATTTTATATTATACTAGCAGTAGAGACCGGCGTTGCCCGGGGATGTAACAGTAAGAGATAGATCAAAAATTGAAAATGCAATGTCATTCATTATCTTCTTAACTCCTGTTCTTTTATTGTTCCCTCTCCTTAATAATGTATTTTATATTATACTAGCAGTAGAGACCGGCGTTGCCCGGGGATGTAACAGTAAGAGATAGATCAAAAATTGAAAATGCAATGTCATTCATTATCTTCTTAACTCCCTGTTCTTTTATTGTTCCCTCTCCTTAATAATGTATTTTATATTATATTAGCAGTAGAGACCGGCGTTGCCTGGGGATGTAACAGTAAGAGATAGATCAAAAATTGAAAATGCAATGTCATTCATTATCTTCTTAACTCCTGTTCTTTTATTGTTCCCTCTCCTTAATAATGTATTTTATATTATACTAGCAGTAGAGCCCGGCGTTGCCCGGGGATGTAACAGTAAGAGATAGATCAAAAATTGAAAATGCAATGTCATTCATTATCTTCTTAACTCCTGTTCTTTTATTGTTCCCTCTCCTTAATAATGTATTTTATATTATACTAGCAGTAGAGACCGGCGTTTTTGGGGATGTAACAGTAAGAGATAGATCAAAAATTGAAAATGCAATGTCATTCATTATCTTCTTAACTCCTGTTCTTTTATTGTTCCCTCTCCTTAATAATGTATTTTATATTATACCAGTAGAGCCTGCAAAATGGGGATGTAACAGTAAGAGATAGATCAAAATTGAAAATGCAATGTCATTCATTATCTTCTTAACTCCTGTTCTTTTATTATTGTCCCTCTCCTTAATAATGTATTTTATATTATACTAGCAGTAGAGACCGGCGTTGCCCTGGGATGTAACAGTAAGAGATAGATCAAAAATTGAAAATGCAATGTCATTCATTATCTTCTTAACTCCTGTTCTTTTTATTGTTCCCTCTCCTTAATAATGTATTTTATATTATACTAGCAGTAGAAACCGGCGTTGCCCGGGGATGTAACAGTAAGAGATAGATCAAAAATTGAAAATGCAATGTCATTCATTATCTTCTTAACTCCTGTTCTTTTTATTGTTCCTCTCCTTAATAATGTATTTTATATTATACTAGCAGTAGAGCCCGGCGTTGCCGGGGATGTAACAGTAAAGATAGATCAAAAATTGAAAATGCAATGTCATTCATTATCTCTACTTAACTCCTGTTCTTTTTATTGTTCCCTGAATAATAATGTATTTTATATTATACTAGCAGTAGAGACCGGCGTTTTTGGGGATGTAACAGTAAAAGATAGATCAAAAAATTGAAAATGCAATGTCATTCATTATCTTCTTAACTCCTGTTCTTTTATTGTTCCCTCTCCTTAATAATGTATTTTATATTATACTAGCAGTAGAGACCGGCGTTGCCGGGGGATGTAACAGTAAGAGATAGATCAAAAATTGAAAATGCAATGTCATTCATTATCTTCTTAACTCCTGTTTTTTTTTATTGTTCCCTCTCCTTAATAATGTATTTTATATTATACTAGCAGTAGAGACCGGCCAACATGTAAAGGGATGTAAGATAATCAAAATTTTCAAAAATGCAATGTCATTCATTATCTTTTTAACTCCTGTTTTTTTATTGTTCCTCTCCTTAATAATGTATTTTATATTATACTAGCAGTAGAGACCGGCGTTGCCCGGGGATGTAACAGTAAGAGATAGAAAAAAATTGAAAATGCAATGTCATTCATTATCTTCTTAACTCCTGTTCTTTTATTGTTCCCTCTCCTTAATATAATGTTTTTTATATTATACTAGCAGTAGAGACCGGCGTTGCCCGGGGATGTAACAGTAAGAGATAGATCAAAAATTGAAAATGCAATGTCATTCATTATCTTCTTAACTCCTGTTCTTTTATTGTTCCCTCTCCTTAATAATGTATTTTATATTATACTAGTAGTAGAGCCCGGCGTTGCTTTGGGATGTAACAAAGAGATAGATCAAAATTGAAAATGCAATGTCATTCATTATCTTCTTAACTCCTGTTCTTTTATTGTTCCTCTCCTTAATAATGTATTTTATATTATACTAAAGTAGAGCCCGGCGTTGCCGGGGATGTAACAGTAAGAGATAGAAAAAATTGAAAATGCAATGTCATTCATTATCTTCTTAACTCCTGTTCTTTTATTGTTCCCTCTCCTTAATAATGTATTTTATATTATACTAGCAGTAGAGCCCGGCGTTGCCTGGGATGTAACAGTAAGAGATAGATCAAAAATTGAAAATGCAATGTCATTCATTATCTTCTTAACTCCTGTTCTTTTATTGTTCCCTCTCCTTAATAATGTATTTTATATTATACTAGCAGTAGAGCCCGGCGTTGCCCGGGGATGTAACAGTAATAGTATCGACCATCATAAAGACTGAAAAATAAAATTGACAAAGATTATTGTTTAAGGTTGACGGACACGCATGTCTTAATTGTTTTTTTTTTTTTTTTTTTTTTTTTTTTTTTACGAATTGGTCAAACCCAAACTCAAACAAAAATATTGTTTTCAATCGATATGAGTCTACCGATTGAAGAGAATTTTATTATAAACAATTGTCTTGTAAATGAAATTTTTAAAACATTCTGAATGTAAAAATAAAGAAAAAAGTACCTGCCAAAAAAAAGTGAAGTTTTGTTGAAATTGGTTAAAAAATGTAGGAAATCCGATCCCATATATAAACGAACACACACACACACACACACACACACACACACACACACAAACAACCTGGGTTTTATAATAAGTATAACTCGATATGAATTGTCCCCCTTTCATTCTCGCGATGCCTCTTAATTGTGTTTTCAAATTGATTTCGTGCAAAACCAATTGTGTTTTTCCCATTTTTGGCGCTGTCAGAACCACCGCAATATAATTTTATGTAGTCCTGTGAAGTTTTGTTGAAATCGGTTGAAAAATGTAGGGAATCCGATCCAATATATAAACGTACAGACACACATACACACACACACACACACACAACCTGGGTTTTATAATAAGTATGATTCTCTTACACTCAGTAACCTTTTGTTTCTTAGTAGCTTTATTGCCGTGCGTGTGGTGAAATGATTAATAAA